CTGCGAGATTGTGAAGAGAGACACTGATGGATGATCTCTAACGTGCTTTAGTGCCGCACTTTCGAAGCGCGATCTATTTCTCGGTGTATGTAAGGTAATCCGTGTGAATGCGGCAATTAAATCACTATCTCGGAATGAAATAACTTTATCTCTCTCAGTATCATGGGAAGAAATACTGATGGATGATCTGTATTCACGATCGCGTACACTCCGACGTGCTTCACACAGTTGCATAGTAGTTACATTCCCGAATCGGAGCCGATCGGACTGCACGTCTCGCCGGCACAGGCGTGTCAATAAGTCCTTCCTGGAGTAACAGATCGAACGGAAATAGTGATTGAGGGCCGATCTGCTTCTTCGTGATATCCCCCAGCCAGGGATATGTGCGAAACGTAATTTAATTTTTTATTAAATTCTACCGATGAAAGCAGATGTCTCCTATTACACATCAATCTCTCTCCATCGAATCCCCGATTAAAATCTTATCGTCGAAAAGCGAAATAAATAAATCGAAGTCAAGTGCTCGCGACGTGCATAAATCCTCGGATCGAAATATTGGCTCTACCGGTTAATCCTGTAAATTCCATCGAGCTGGAAGAGCCGCTAGAGAATCTCGAGATACAACGCTAACCCTAAGTTATTGTCCTTCGATGCTGCAAACGACTAATTTACTCCTCCTCGCTCCGTGTTGAGTCTTAAAAACGAATTTGCTTCGGAACTTATTTAATATTCGATTATCTCAATGCTCCATCTGTGTTTAATCTTTACTTTTAACCTCAAACGACAATTCATTAATGATATCATTTGTTTAATTGCTAAGGTAGAATATATGCGATCAACGGATATTAAATAATACAATAAATATTGATGGGTAAACGATGGGAACAAACTTCCTTTTCTCACCATTATTTTATTTTAATTTTGTTTATTGAAAATCTCAATAAAATCTGGAGATTCGTGTGACAGTTACGTTACATCCCGAGATTCTTCATCAGTCGTCCTTCATATTCGACCGAAGTTTTCCCGCAAAGTAGGAGCGAAATTTCCGCTCGAGTTACGCTGGCTAATATTTTAATCGCGCGGCGAGCGTGAAAATCACCAAATGACGAGTAAGTCACGATTCAATTTGCATCTCGCGAATTGTATGAAACTTTCTGCCAACTCACCGCGGCGGCCGATTACGTAGTTCGCGGGAAATAAATTCGTTGACGTGAAATGACGATGGTGTAGGAACGTGAGGGATGAGAGAGAGAGAGAGAGAGAGAGAGTTCGCCGTATTTCCCGAATCCGAACATCCCAGACACTTTTATTCGTATCGCTCGATAACAGCCTGCAGGATTTACGATCCGCTCTAGGGAATCTCGCCGTTACTTCCGCGTCAGTCGCTGGCGTTTTCCCCGGGAAATCTGGACGCGCCAGTCGCCGGCGGAGGAAGAAAGAATTAGCGGGACACGGGAAACGTCGACGGGGCGGAAGGTTGGGAAGTCAGGGCGAGCGGGAGTTAGATAAACTAGTGGCGTACGTGCCCGGAAAGTAGAGCGTCAACTGTTGAATAGATGGCTCGGCGATGAAGAGCACGGTTGCCTAATTCAATTCGCCCGAAACTGTTTCCGAAGACGTCCTTTTTCGCTCAATCTGTCTCGTTGTTTTCCGCCGTCGTACAGCCGCTTGCCGACGGCTGCTTCGCCATCCTTCCCGCGATCCCGCCGCGTTGCATCGTGGCTGAAACTCTGCCTCGTCGAGCTCCCGAGCTCCCTTTATTCCACCTGTCGATCGCTACGACGAAATCGCGGCGGCCGATAGTGGCGGAAAGAAAAGCGTCAGATCGCATGCATTTCTCATCGGAAGTAGCGCTCCGCGATCGTCCGCAGGCACGAAATAAAAAGTCCCTTCTTCATTTCTTGGATTTCTCTTGGTACCGCGCGAACTCCACTGTCCTCGTGAGTAGCAGCTTGATAGCGAATATCGAGACATCCACGGGGAAAAACGATCTCGCAGGCGTCTCCGATGAATGTGACCGAAAGAAAAGCGCTGAAAGTAACGTTGAGGGGAACATTGAAATCGAAGGGCTGTGTGAATTCTGACTCGATTACTATGCGTATTAGAAAATAGAACAACCGTTTGCACTATTTAATATAATCACCGTTTGTCATCGTACACTTTTCAAAGCAATAAATGAATTTCCTCCTCGCGTCTCTGAAAAAAAATTCTGAATTTTATACCTTAATATAGTTTAAAACCGCGAAAGAGAGCACACTCTTCATCGCGCCAATTGGGCTTCAATTTGAAGATTAAAACGTAATCACTAGGAGCTAGAATCGAGTTTTTCTTCTCTCCAAAATTAAAATTTGTTTTCCTTGAAAGAAATTCACCAGTGATAAAGAAGTGATTTCCACAGTTGTTGAACCGTTTTAAAGATAAGTTTCCGGAATATTCAGTGGTAGGGGAAAATTAATTCTCATCGGAAGTTCTGAAACATATATCGAAATAAAGTGTGATTATATTAAAAGATAACGCTTGTTTCATTTTATCGTCCTTTCCGTGTCTTTGAATCGGAAATTTTTCGGGCGTAGACATATTGCACGCGATTTAAGCAGGAACAATGTTCTAGAATATCGATACGCGATTAAAATAAATCCGAGGAAGGAAAGCTTCTTCCTTCAGCTCTCTCTTGTCAACCGCGTATTACGATGGGAGTAAAAGTTACGATTGCACAATGACTTCTTGCCCTTCCGAACCTTCTGAAGTTCCGAGAAGAGACGACTACTAATTACCGGATACGCGTCGCGCAGATAACACGTACGGTTATCGGCAACGGACCGACGCCGCGCGCATTCGTTCCTCCGCTCACGCGCAGCGAGCGGCGCGCGCGCGCGCGTCTCGCTTTTTCCGCGAGATCGTTATCCGTTAGCCGTTTTCCCAGATTGATCGGCCAACGTGACGCGGAAAATAATCGCGGTCGCGGACGATGTTCCGCTTGAAAAGCGAATCGTCCCTCTCCCATCTTTTAATATCATCGGTCCGCCTTTATCGGAGGGATTTACTGCCGAGCGTATCTCGCCCCGGAAACCCGTAAAAATGCCGAGGTGGCGCGCCGGATTACCAGCGCCCCCCGAGTCGCAAAGAATCCTTTTTAGTTTTCGCCGCCGCGTAAGGGAGATAGATAGAGAGAAAGAGAAAGAGAGAGAGAGAGAGAGAGAGAGAGAGAGAGAGAGAGAGAGAGAGAGAGTGAGTGAGTGAGTGAGTGAGGAGAAAGAGACGTAAACGCCGTCCGGCGACGCCAAAGCGGCGTGTAACGAAGCGTAGAAACGCGACGGGAATGTCCGAGGGCCTATCGGCCGGGAATTAATTGTCCTATGAATCACGCATCGTATCATGCGGGACAGTTTTTATGCGCATGTTTAGCATTGATAACGGAGCGATGCCGTAGTGGGTTGCTGCGCCCGGTCGTTGGCTCCCTATCTACCGCGTGTTATGTTGATTTACGTTCACGTTTGCCAGCTGCTCCTCGCCGCGATTCATCCCGCGCTCGTGCATTTAACCGCTCGATCGTGAATTTATATATCGATCGGCGGGACCGAGGATCGGGAAAGGAGGTTTTCCTAGTCGCAACTCGTCGCACTACGACATACTTTGCTCTCACGAGGCCAGGCGTCTCTCTCTCTCTCTCTCTCTCTCTCTCTCTCTCTCTCTCTCTCTCTCTCTCTCTTTCTCTCTCTCTCTCTCTCTCTACGCGACGTGATTTTCGATGCGTACGTCACTTTTTATCCTCTGTGCAACTCAATATGGGATCAGTCGGAAAGTTCGGCTCGATTTTATTACTTCCGCCGATAAATTGACACGGTCGTCTGCGCGTACAAATGCTGCCGAAATGTTGACGGAAGATTACTTCTACAACGACGGCGATTGCTTGCTTGCTGAATAATTTGTTTCTGCTAAATGCAATCTCGCGGAAAATGGAATCAAACTCGTCGGTTTTAACTCGATAATAACAGAGATATCTTGGATTTTTATATCCTCTGAGACATATTGCTCTTCTCCTGCCAGAGGCAGGATTTGATGAAATCTAGAAAATTAATTAAAATCAATTAAATATCGTGGAAAGGAAATGAATGAAGGGATTGTGTGAAAGTTCTTCGATCAAGATCGCACTAGGGAAAACAATTTAGTATCTCTAACAAAACTGTTCAGTTGAGGCATTTTTTAATAGCAACCAAATATCTTGTTTTATATAACAAAATATTTAATTGTCTCAACTAAATATATTTTTCTGCTTTGTTCTCTGGACCAAATGATTTTGTTCTTAGACTTCATATATAAAAATTAAGCATTTTAATTGTTTTATCCATAAAAATTACATAATAACGAAATATTATTTTACATAAACTAAAATAATGCCCAATGGATATTATTTTGTCTCTCTGTGCACTAAAATTTAAATTTTATATATTAAGAAAAAATTATAGTATTTTCAACAAAATTCATATAGTTGAAGCTTTCTAGTTGCCGTAACAAAAGTATTACGTTATACGAACAAACAACGTAATCAAACAAGATATTTGTTTACAGGAACTAAACAATTTTGTCGGGCATATTTTAACCAAATTATTTTGTTGTTACGACAAAATTTTGGTTCACGTAACAATACATTTTTCCTAGTGCGATATTACACAGTAGCAAAGAAATATTGTTTCATATAATTTTGAAAATCTATAGAAAAGTTTCCGTGGGCAATCCATTTCCCGTGTACAGATGCGATTCGATTGCTGAAGTAATATTCGGCCAAGTTTCTTTTTCCGCTTTTCGAACGTCGAACGTCGAACGTCGAAAGCCGTATAAAAGCTGCTCCGGCGCGGCGTCTGGCCTCGCCAGGTGTACACGGGGATATGGTGGACTCGCGATGAAACCACAACCGAAACTTGGGCGATTCACCACGGGAAGCGTTTAACAGTTTACCCACTACTTACTTCCTTTTGTTCTTCTGCCCTCCGTTTTTCCAGCAGGCAGAGAATTGGACGGCGATTCCAGGGGATACAGGAGCGCCGAGGAGCAGGCGCGCGAATTGACACGGAGCATTCGCCGCGAAGTGAACAAACTTTCGGAGCAGTGGAACGCTTTAATCGAACGCAGCGATGCGTGGAAGCGGAAACTCGACGACACCGCTAACGTGAGTACCTTACTCCACTCTTACTTACACAGAAAGCCGCTTATCCCGCGAGTGTATTCTCTGATATGAATAGCAATCTTTTGCATTACGAATAAATCCCGGATTGGCTTTCGAGGTACACCGAGAAGTTACTTACTGAAGCAACGGAGAAAAATCTTTAGCTGGACGAGCCGAAATGAAATATTCGGTGAAATATGAACGACGATTCTCAAAGATTCCGATTGAAAAAAATTTGAAGAATCCCGTTTGAGTTGAGGAAAAATCCTTGACAATCGAGACCCGAATTCTGATAACTTTCAACGGGATTCCGAAATCATCCATATTTCAGCGGATAATTTTGTTCCATCCGACCAAACGTGCGATATTCGTCGGGAGGTCCGAACCTGCGGAAGAACGAGCGGGAGCGAGCGAGATTATTTTTCGCACGGGCGCGCGCTGAGGCGAGCTCTCGCACGTGCAGCAAAAGCGCGCGCAAAACTGCGCGAATAATTGCGCACGGGCTTTTGGGAATTACGCCGGCCGAGTTATGTAATTACCGATCACGCGCGTTATTCACTCACAGCCGCGTGCGCGAAATAATAATTCGGGATCAAGATAAATCGTCGATCGAGCCGAGAAGATTAATTGACGGTCGTTGCCGCGCTGCGCGTTATTTTCGCCAAGCATAATGATTAGCAAATAATTACAGGCGGGCAAGTGATTTTCTTTCTCTCTCTCTCTCTCTCTCTCTCTCTCTCTCTCTCTCTCTTCTTCCTCCTCCTACTAATGTATGTTCAGCGAGATTGTGCACGAGGGTACGAGAAGTTGCTTAAAAATGCGGAACCCGTGATTTATGACACATCTCGATGGGCAGATAAGAGAGATGATGTTTGCGGACGGGCAACGAGTTTCGCAAGAATTAATTGATATTTTGTTACCGGGCGTAATACGCAAACTTAAATTAAGCGCGAAACTTAAAGTTTCCCCCGCGCAGCGCGCGACGAGCGAATGCGAAAACTTTGATTTATATCCTCGGCGTTATATGCAGCGGTATATCGCGATAGATCGCGGGGACGGATAGCTCCATATAATATTCAAACGCTGTCAAAAGTTGTGCCGTGGGCACAACGGCGACTTCAATGAAGCGCTCCCGTGAGCGCTTTCTTACGAGGAAAAATTCAATTTTCAAGAGAGAACAGTACGCGACACCGGCAACTGCGACAGATGGAAGGAAAATTTATCTAATTCTCCGCGCTCATGCGACGGTGACTTCTTTTCTCGCCCGTATCTTTCCTCGTCGGTTCTCTGCGAGAAGATTTTCACACGATCGAACTGGCGAATAAAAATCTTCACACGATCGAACGGCGAATAAAGAGAAATAGATAGATGGAGAGTTTATTCATACCCTGGGGAAACAACCCCTTAGGTTTCATTAGGAATACAAGTACAAGAGAGAGAGAGAGAGAGAGAGAGAAAGAGAGAGAAAAGCCCTGACGATCGATCTGGCGCGACGCGCGCGCTGGTAATCGCGGGAACAACGGAATGTCTGGTTCCGACGCGACTTTTACAAGAGGTCAACGCGCGCGCGCGCGTGCGCGAGGACAGCGTTCAGCGAGGCTCGATTTTTCCGTCGTCGTATCGCTTTATGATTGCCATTGCAATTTTCTCTATGAGAGGTTCCATTTGTCGGAACGACTTTGCGCCCCGGGGCCGGTAAGCGCGGGCCGTTTATTGGTGAGCACCGAGAAAAGACGTTCGGAAACGAGCTGCCTCGTAGTAAAGGCGAGATCCCTAGATGCGAGCCTGACCAATCGGCGCTCGTGCCGCGTCTGACGCCACCGAAATCTCGAGCGCACGTCCTTTTCGATATCGGAAATGGCGCTCATTTCCTGAACGTCCGTTTAATCGGGGGGGGGCTCAACTCTGTATCGTGCGCGCGCCGATTGTGCCCGCTGGAGCGGCCATAACACACACCGCTATCCGGCGGAATTAGGAAAGTACATCGCCTGTGATACCGCGCGGAACGAACGATAGCTCGCGCTTGTGCGCGCTCGGCCGCTCGCAAAAGGAGCGGCCGTGCGCGCCGCGGGGAACGGCCGAACTTGCTTCCGACTTGGCGCTCAATCAAATATCGGGGCATCGATAATCCCCGCGGTCGTGAGCGGTCGAAAGTAAAGAGGAAGGAAGGAGCAAGGAGAGAGAGAGAGAGAGAGAGAGAGGAGAGAGAGATAGATAAAGAATAGAAGTAAGAACCCTTACGCCGGCAAGCGGATTTCCAATCGAGCAGGAGAATCCCGAATCCTCATCCTTCGTCCGAATTTCGGCAGACCGCGCTTTTTCGACATTTTCATTAGTCGCGTGATTAGCGAGCGGGGACAATTAACGTTGAAAATTCCGCGGGAAAAGTCGCGGCGGGGGGAACGAAGACGGCGGCTCGAACGGACAATTCAGCGAGTTTCCGAGAGATTCGCCGAGGCAGTTTGTCAAAGAATGCACACCGCCGAAGTTTAATGCAAATCTCCAAAGCCACCACCATCCGCAGCCTCGCCGTCGCCATTGCCAGCAGCAGCAGCAGCACCTCTTTCGGTGTACGTACATCCTTGAGTGAAAGGAGAACCGCGCGCTTTCGAGCAGCCAGCCGACGGCTGCTCGGGCGAACCGTTTACAAGCATCGTCGGGCGAAGACGACGGAGGGATCTCTTTCCCGCCGCCCTCGTCCGAGGAGGTCGAGAATTTATTATCGGGCCGACAGTGTGCCAGCGGTATATTCGCGATGCACCGATAATCGCATTCTATTCGTCGCTCTCTCATTCAGGTGCCCAGGTGCCGTCGATCGGCGCCGCTCCGCTCCGCTCCGCAGAGGTAAATCGCGCTTTCACGAGCAGCGGGCGCGAGCGCGAGCGCTCGCCGCGTCGCTTATATGCACGTCCTTGTCGTCGAGGTTTAATGCATCCTTTCGTGGGTGGAGAATCGCGTCGACTCTCTCCCCCCGTTACCCCGTTACCCCGTTACCCCGTTGGCCGCCTCCGCGCCTCGGCTCTCCTCCGTCTCTGGTTTTCCTCTCCTTTCTTTTCTTCGCCTTCTCTCCCCGTCCTTCCTCCTCCTCGCTGCCCCTTCAGGGCGTCGCACCTTCGGTCTCATGAGCGGTTTTACGATTTGCCTGCCACTCGCGCAGAAGACGCCGCCCTCACTCGGCGGCTGCTAAATAATATTTATATATTCCAGATATTCTTCTCTTGTTTCTCGTGTTTTTCCAGGATTGAATTATAGGTTAGAATGTGAAGGATTAAATTGTCAACTTGTACGTACGGTTTCAAACGGTTCGAAAGCTTCTTTTGAGATGAGAGATGAGACATCTCGACATGAGAAAACTTGATTCTGAAAAATTGCCGTTCATCAAAATTATTTGTGTTGTCTCGTTGAACAATAGGAATGAAATTAGACGAAGATCGAATGCCTGCAGGCCATCCTTTTTGAATATATTTTACTTAACAACCATGTATTATATATAATATATATTCAGGGTGTTTAAAAAGAGGGCTCGAGACTTTCTTTTTTTTTAAGGGAGGATAGTACTGACAAAATGACAGAAAAAATTTATAAACATGGGTCGAAAAATTTATATTGTGGGAGTTATGAACAGTTATTTATTTTAATTAAAGTAAGTAACATGCTCGCTGCTGGTGCTTGCGATGTTCACAAAAGATTTCCTACATGTCCTCCTGTTATTTCTACACACGCTTCGCACCATAGAATTGCAAACTCTTACATAAAGTTCCCGACTTTATTCCGACCATTTGACAGACATTTTATATTCTCTGATGTATTATAACTCGTCTATATGTCAGTTATCGGTGAAGAGTGCCTCATGCTCTCAAGAAATCCCCATAAAAAGAGTTCAGCGGATTTAAATCAGGAGAGCGAGAGGGGACCATGAGACTGGCCCACCTCAACCCATCGTTCAATCCATCTTTCACTGAAGGACCTATTTAAATGTTGCCGAGCGTTGAGTGCAAGTTCAAGAGCGAAGAGATTTTTTAGGGATTCCTAAAACATAGACACTCTTCACCGATAAATGACATGGACAAGTTACACCGAAGGACGCAAAAACGCCGGAAGCGAACAAGTCATACGTTTTAATTAAAATAAATAATCGTCCATAACTTCATAACAATATTAATCTGTCGACCCATCAGAAGTCTTTTCCTCCATTTTGCGAGTACTGTTCATCCTTAAAATCCTGAATCTTTTTTTTTTAACACTTTGTACATGTATACGACGTCTATGGATTAACAGAATTTTTCGATCTCTCGACTGGATTGTGTAAAATCCCTCGGACTCGGCTAGTAAGACCAAAGCTGCGCGATCGAGTGAAAAAATGATGCGCGAGCATAACCGACGGGGCAATCACCGACGACACTCTGTAACGACGACGCGGCGACGACGATCGCTTTCTCGAGATCACCTGGACTTTTTCACGAGTAAAGCCGCATTCCGCTGTGTCAGTGCGCGAAACATCGTCGAACGAGGCGAGATTCCGGCGGCGCAGGATGATTCTCGGAGCGCGAACGCGACGCGCACGCATGCCACTCGGATGGAATTCACGATGCGTGTACGCAATATCGTCCACGTTACACACGCATACATGACGGCACTCTGATCGCATAGCTTCGAGGCAAGCAGCTCGTGTACATCGATAACGCGGGATAATGTGACGACACGATCCTCGCCGCTTGATCCTCGCGCACGATCCTCGGTCGCGCGGTCTCGACGTTCTCACCTCGCGCTTCGCAGAGAGCTGGTTATCGCCGGAAAAACCGTCCGCCGGCTCGCAATAAAACGATGACGACGGATAATTGATAACCTTGATTCGGGATAAACGCGCGGGAGAGGTACCAATTAAAAAGTTTTATCGGATACACGAGGTAAACGTCGGGTGTGATGTAATTAAACCGTAATGGCCGAGACTAAGTGACACACCGGCCTGGTAATACAAATTGTGAGATATTAATTGACTTTAT